AGCATACGGGGTCAGGTCGCGTATGACCTCCGAGCATTCATCCGTGCTATTCATTGTAGGGTTTTTGGCATTGATCCAAAAAGCCTCTAGGAGTTTTCGCGCTGGTGTTTTGGACTCCTGTGCAAGGATATTGACTTTTACTTCAAAATCGTCTCCGCTATGCTTTTGTATCCTATGCGTGCCCAGTGGGGTGCTTCGTCATAGTTTTCGTTTGCCATCTAGGTGTTCTTTTAGACGGATACTTTGCCCATTTCGCCAATATATTCACCTCCGCAATTATTACAGGAGATTAGGTATATCGTACCTGAACTCATGCAATCACCGTCCCTGCCGTAAGAGCAAATTACGCAATTCGTTGTTTCACACAGACGGTCATACAGGCGGTTGCGAACTAATTGGCGGCGTAGAGTAGCCGGTGGTATTTCAACTATCGCTACCGATTCCTCTAGACCTCCCCTTCTTAAGCATCGTTTTATAGCTGCGCTTGCTTCATCGCTTATAAAAGGCAACATAAACCGGATTTTGTTTTGGCCAAGCGTTTCGCGTGGGCGCGTCGCTCTCCTCCTAACCTTATCTCGTGGGGTTACTATTTCGTAGCCATTGGAGATGGCTATTTGCCGAGCCAAGTCGCGCGATTCTTCCTTTAGTTTTCTGGTAGTGAACACAGAGGTGGCTGTTCGAAACTTGTTTCTCACAATCGCCCTCTTTGTGTGTGAAGGGTGGGAAGAAAGGAAATGAACAAGAATGTTCTTGTTGCTTGGCTTTCGATACCACTTTGTCAGGTAACCGCTACTTGATAGGTTTATTTGAACGTCCAAAAACGGAAGCCAGTTTTTTCTCGGTTTCTCCCGGGTGTACTTTATGTACCCGGACTGCTCGTCCAATAATTCAAAGCATTCGTCCATCTCCTCCTGCGTAAAGAAGACGACAAAACAATCATCTACATATCTGCAGTTGGAAGGGTATACTGTTATACGATCTACTAGGCCAAACGCTTCCAGGCTCTGAAGAAGGCGATACTGCCGAAACGTCAGTTAGCGTTGAATTGTATTGTGTTCCTCTATGGATGTAAATGTATGCTGCTTAAAAACCTCGCGATTGCTGAACAAGAAAACGACACATTTATATTCCAATGCCGAGGTTAATAGAAAGTCGGTCCTGGGAACTGTTACTGAGATATTTGCAAAACTCCGGTCAGTAGGTGCCTGCGATGGGAAGGAAAGCGCTATGCATGCGCTGTGACTCACTTGGTACGGTAGTGAAGGCGATAGCCTCTGAAAAGGGTAATAGCGCGTTTGTTCCCCATAGGAGACTCCTGCGGTCCGGAGTTTTGAAAATATTTCAGCAACATTGTGGTTATGCCACACATAATACCCTGCCGTGAAGAAATAATGTAAAAGCCAGTAAACAAAAAGTTAACGTTATTACAACATTGTTCATTATTATCCCTCATAACGCTAAACTCTTTTTGGGCAGTTGGCTTCGTCTGATGGGAACTGAGATCGAAACGGACAAACTCTTTGAATAGTTAACACAAGTTTGGCTTGTACGACTTCAACAGTGGCCGGATTATACCTGTGGTAAATCCAAGAACCGACTTTCTATTAACCTCGGTGTTGATCAGTAGTTCACTGTTTTCTTAATAAACGGACACGAGGTTGTTATTACACTATTTATTCACAATAGCTAATGCAACATTTTCTTAAGCCAAGTAGAAAAAAAAACACTCACTACATATATTTCATTCGCATGGTAAACAACTTCTTTGAGACACCTACGGTTTGGCTCTTCATAAAGCTTCCAGTTACTTCTAGACTCCAGCTGCAGAGTTTCACATGAGTGAGGAATATGCCTGGTTTGTGTTTAAAAAAATCATCTCTACTTTTTTATTTACTGATACTACTACAATTTTCACGGCAGGGTGTGATACAAAATCAAACACAACGGTGCTGAGATATTCGCGAAACTTGGACACTTGGCCAGATCGAACCACGACTTCCTTTTTATGCTTGTGAATTACACCCTTCGCTACGGAGGCCCTTGCGCTGAGTGTCTTTCAGCTACTTCTCCATCTACTAGTGCCATCAGCAATCAGCCTTCAACGGTACTCTGATCTGGGGAGCTCATATCAGCACTGAAAGCAGTTAAGCTGAGGCTGCAGTCGAAACCACAATGTTTACTTTTATCTGGCCCGGCGTCCAGAGTTTTACGAATATCTCTGCATCGCTGTGTCTCATTTCTTATGATACCCTGCAGTGAAAATTGTAGGGGGCAGTAAATAAAAAAGTTAGCATCGTGATTTCAACTGCAGCTTCAGCTTAACTGCTTTCAGTGCTGATATAGGCTCCCCAGATCACAGTACCGTTAACAGGTGATTGCTGATGGCACTGGTAGGTAGAAAACTAGCTGAGAGAAAAGGCCTCCGTTGCGCAGCGTTTAATGCGCAAGCATATGGATAGGAAAGTCGTGGTTTGATCTAGCCTGGAGTGCAGGTTTTGCGAAAATTTTTATCTATTGTACCTTATTTCACCGATAAGCTAACACAAACTTGCTACTACTATACAATCGTTCGGTTGTTGCTTCGACGTGTTCGTCTTCCTCAGAGCCGACGATCCGTGTCGGTGTTCCACAGTTGTTTGTTCTTTCGATGTGGAGTCTTCGTGGTTGCATCGAGACGGCTCTCATTCAGTACAACACTTAATGAATGGCATGCTCATTCGGCTATGCTCTTTTATACAGGGCGCTTGTTGTTGACATTGATCATCCGTTTGTAATAAATTGTTCTTCATAGGACAATCCATCCTGTAGCCGTTGATTTTAGATGAACTTGCACACATCGAACTAAACGAAGGTACGTGGGACCTCGGTCATTTATACTGAGGTTAAGTGAAAGTCGGTTTACAATAGCATGTCTGTTTTGTTCCCAATTTATTTGTTTTTTGCGTCCTCAAAAACCTCGTTAATAGACTAGTACTGCGAGTACATCTTTGAATTCTATGCAAATCCAAGTAAACTTAGGTTTCCACTGTTTATTCAAAAACTTCCAGCTTTGCCTTTCTAGAAGAGTTTGTTTCTTGACTCAAAAATCCACAACAAATGGGGTAGTAAAATTATGTTACCGTTTGTATAAGGAATACTAATTGAGAAACCGCTCAATAAACAGAAGTCCTTATATTCTGCAGCCGAGTTACTGCTAAATTTTTGCACTCACTGCTGACAAATCCCACTGGGTTAAAAAAGTGGAATTAAGGTTCGAGCATATACATCTATTCAAACTACACAATGAAACGTTATAAGATAAAATGATTCACGATCGCTGAGAGCACTGATCAAGTAGAAAAATTTATTGAATTACGAAATATGGTATTGACTTTTATCAGGCCAAATTGTATGTCTATAGATGAGAGAATGATAGAAAAGATACGTAGCACCACATGCGTTTGGGAATTTTCAGACAGAATTTGGTGTCGATTATGCAGAGGGTACGGTGCAGGCGTGTCACAAAGCTTGAACGTATGCTAGTCACGGTATTCCGTCAGGAGACTTGAAGCGAGGTTGTGATTACCACATGCGTCGAACATATTCACCTCGGACGTCACGAGGCGTTCCAAACGCTCCCATTCCGGTCTGAAAAACGGTCATCTGTGTGCATAAGGCTTCTTCACACTTCGATATTCAAAATCAACGATGGTCACTTGAGAAATGTTGATTGTCGGTAAAAAAGTGAAGAGTTGATCAAAGCTGAAAGGCAAGCTGAACTTATCTCCATTCTTTAAATATCTCGTTTATCACTTCAAGAATGCTGAGGTATGAGCAAAGCTCCTCACTTCATGTAGTCTTCGGACCCATGATTACCGCTGCAGACTTTTCAGCCTGAGTTCAGTGCCAGTTTGTTCTCTACACATCATTCTAGTTGACAGATGATTGCTTAGAGTCCCGATTGAGTAAAACCGATAGAGTAGAAAACTGGCTGGGAGTAAAGCAAAGCAAAGGCATCGGTAAGTGGATAGCAACTGAGACCTCTGGAAGGGTAACCACAACTCTGAAGCTCAGGCTGAGGCTCAGAGTTTCGCTCACATCTCAAAACCCCTACGATTGTATTTCACATCGCACACTGCCGTAAAATGAGATTGGGTAGTAAGTATATGTTACAATACCGAATTCATAATTCTATTTTCACTTTAGACAGATCACAAGGTTTTGTTTCCATGTAAGGAGTAACTATCTTACTATTTAATAAATAAAATTCATTTTAAGTCCGGTACTCACGCTTTTTGATCTACTTAATCATTCCTTGGTGATGTGCCGCTTTATCGTAGCTTGGGTGTTTTGGAGTTTCAAACTACAGTGGTTTATTTTTCGCGGCTTCATAGCGAAAAATATGACCAACCAACAATACACTGCTCAAGTGAAGGAAGTGTTTAATTCCTATGAAGATGAGCCATACAGATGCAAGTAATCATTTCAAATGAGTGCTTAATCTATTCATATCCACACCTTTTGACATCAGTCTATTAATAATCGTTCTCAGTAAGATAACGAGATCACAGATAGTCACCTGGTTTGCGTGCCTAGCTTCATCTTGTCCACTCCAGAATGGGACTTCTGGCCTGCGTGCCATATCAGCGGGAAGGTCTTCATGAGTGTCATCGACAAACGCAGTATATATCTGAAAATAATTCCGAGTTTTTCAAATTATTGCTTCATTTTCAAGTTCAAGAAAGATTACGATTCCTAATAACATAGAAATGCATAAAAAGCTTACCTGTCTAGGCATACCGAATCCGGTTTTACCAGCTTGTGACTCCAGGAAGTTAACGCCCATTTGGTAAGGGATCATTCCCTGAAACAGATGTGTCATTCAAACATGTAAAAATAGCTCAAGAAATGCATAAATGGATTACTTCAAAAAGTTTAAAGCATTTTTCCCTTCAAGAAAAAAGGCATGATAAGCCCTTCTAATATCTAAAGTTGTTGGTTAACGAGGTCACAAATAGTACGTGGTTATATGATCTCGTATAAAAATAACAGCGGTTTTGGTTGAAAGTTAACTTGATGTGAACCTTAAATGAGGTACGCACTTGGAAATTTATAAATGTAATCTAAAGGCACTAGCACTGGCATACATGATTCATGTTCTACAATATTCTCATACTCTCTGAAGAAGGCGATACTGCCGAAACGTCAGCTAGCGTTGTATTGTATTGTGTTTTCTTTATGGAAGTAAATGTATGCTGTTTAAAAACCTCGCGATTGCTGAACAAGAAAACGACACAATCATATTCCAATGCCGAGGTTAAGAGAAAGTCGATCTTGGGAACTATTACAAGATGTACCAGCAAAATACTTTCGACTTGTGAAGGAAGCATTGTCACTAAGACAGAAGATCGTCTTAGCTAGACAGCAAATCAACTTTCTCCGCCGCTGTTTTCAACATCGAGTCGTGCCGAAGTTTATAAAACGAAAGCGACTTCACGAGATATGCGGTCAACCAGAGGGCAGCCAACAAGTACGAGGCATCGAAATGGAACTACTTCGAGCTGCACTACGAAGCAAGCAGAACGAGATGTTTGCCAGAATGAAGAAGTGTGCAACGAAGGAACATTTTTGTGCTTTGTATTTGGAGGATCGCCTTTGGAGGAGGATAGTTGGTGGGTCGATATTGATATGCGATTTTATTAGATCTAATGCCAAAATAACCTTACAACGGAAATTCGAAGACCTTTTGGGCAATTCACGCGTCTCAGCTTCAAGAAACAACCGCAAACGAATTCCTTACGTTTCTGATAATGGTCGAAATGAGGCTGATACTGCACCAAGAAAATCTAGGGTCACCGTGATTGGGGGCATAACAATACCTGAGAATGCGCGCTCGCTATTAGAATTGGGCCCAAGTTTTGCACCATCACAGCCCATTTCTAAAACGACCCTGCGTAGGATAGCATGCAACCTTTATGAGCTTCAAGATCGACTCCGCTATCAGGCCAAGCAAGAAACATCAAA